AGTGTAACAGAGGAAAACATATCAGCCAATTCCATACAAAGGCAAATCTAATGGCAGTTTTGGACACCCCTTGACTGCTACCCTCAAAAACTGCACATTTCAATAAATGAAATAATTTAGAATAGAGCCAAGCAATATTCTTCTTTAACTATCAGTACATTGACAATTAGGATGGATAAGGTGTTTGGAAAGATTTTGTATATTTTAATTTTTTTTTTCTTTTTAAGCTTTTCAAAAAAGAAATTGTGTAGGAAATGTTAATTTCCAGTGTTATCAGGCCAAGTCCTCCTCTGCAATTCAGATAGACCTGTCAACACTACAGAAGTCTCTGTAGTCAAGAACAAATCCCAATGAAGAACTATTAAACAAAGACCATACCTTAAGCACTTACTGATGACATGCAATGAAATCAAGCAAGCAGTAACAGGACTCCATTTACATTTGGAGCATTCAGAAAGAGACTTTTGCAGTTCAGTTGGGGTACAGCACTGGAATTTCACAAAACACTTGTGAATAGTTAACATTCTCTCCCCACTTGACTTGACACGCAAAGTAAGTTTCAAAACAATGCATCTAGGTTATTGTCTGTATAAACAAGATGCTAAGAGCAGAACTGAGTTTCAGAGTTGCTCAACAGTCACAGACTCATGTCAAGAAAATACACATGTACATCTTGCAGTAAGTGGTCATTTTGTGTTCCTGCATACCCAGGTTTAGAGAAACAGTTCCATAAGAACTCTTTGATCACAATTAAACCAATTCTTCCACAGTGCTTTTCACCTCCTTAGGTTAGGAAAGGCATACCTTCTATTACCTTTTCTAAGAGCAGACATCTAAGCCATAACGACAGCTTTAGGCTACGACGTTTGATGAAGGGCACACACTGAAGCTATGGAATTATATTGAGAAAGCACAGTTCTGACATTCTCAAAAGTGTTTGGATGCTTTTGTGTCAAGGGTAATTTTTACAGGTTATATTCATTTCACGAGAACAAGTAAGAATGACATACAAGCTTTGCTGTGGAGATATGTATAAGTGCACATGAGTTCTGGATGAGAACAGGTCTGCAAGTCTGTTCATTTAAAAAAATTCTTACAAATATCAGTCCTGCCTCAAACCACAAAGCCAGCAGCAGACCTATGCAGACTGTATGCATGCGCATGCACGAGTCAAACAGTTATCTAGATACCTAAGAAGTCACCCTGCAGCACTGATCTTTGTAACTGCAAGTCTTTGGTGACTTCCTATGCACTCTCCTTCGCCCTTTCAGTTTCACAGAGAGGCTGTCAGGTACTCAGCAAGGAAACATTCAGCAAGGAATTCTGGACATCACTGGCAAAAGAGTTACTGTGAAGACATCAGTTAGCATTTCAGAGATGGCAGGCAGAAAACAGATATTTCAGCAAGGAATCACTGCTGTCCCACTGAATTCTATTAAACTCCTCAAGCAAAAATAAGTTAGGCCTGCGGCAGAAGAAAGGTTAATGGATATGACTCTGTTTCTTTCTTCCCAAAAGGCTCAGCTTCAGTGTTTACCAACGATCTCAGATTCTGAATTCCAGTAAATTGTATTTTAGAACAAACCAGAAAATAGCCCTGAGAGTAAACATACTTTTAAGAGCTGCTATTGCTTTACATATAAACCAAACACAGCAATAATTTACTTCCACAGTATGCAATATTTAAGTCCCTTTTTTCCTCACTTGGGATATGTATGTGCAACCAAGAATTTCTTTTCCAAGATAAACGTACTCAAGTATTATCTGTCACTTTTCCAAGTATTTATATTTGTTGCTACAGGATTATGGCACCAAGCAAGGAAAGAATAGCTGAAGCAAGTCAAACTTTAACAAAGAAGCCTCTTCCCTTGTGCCTTGAGTTCTTAAAAAAAGGATTCAAATAGTCATAGCTGCCACCAGGGACCTTCGTTACAACAATGACCTCCTTCCTTTGATTTGTGTAGAATTCACAATTGGAGGAACACCATTTAGTGTATCTCAAAAATCAACTGTCAGTGCTACTGAACACTGCCATCAGCCTCTAAGTGTGGCCAGAAGTGTAAAATACCAAGAAAGCAAGAGTATCAAGTGTGTCAAATTGTGCATAAAAATGGACCTTTAATTTTTTTTAAGCTACAAAGTAGGCAGTCAAGGAACTGACCAGGTCTATGCATAGTTAGGATTTGAAGTACGCCAAAAGATCTTGAACTCTTTCAGTAAAACTGTGCTTGAGTAGTGCATGAGTCAACCCCCAAAACACTGAATATCCCACTCTATACATAAAAGAATTTTTAAAAAGCTCCATGCACTCTCAAAGCTATTTTGAAATTGTTTATATACTTTATCTAACAGCTCTGCTATGGCACAAGACAGCACATAAAAAGTTTAAGGCTGATTTTTGTATGCACATCTGTAAAAGCTGGTCTCAGAACAGAAGCTGTCGTATTTTCTTGATTCTGAGTCTTTCGTGTGTATTCATAATAAAGTAGAGCTGCCACAGCAATAGTAGAGTTGTCCTGCATATAAAAAAAATCTGAATGTTGTCCTGAATGTAGTCTGGTTTTATAAAAAGGAAAAACCTCACACATTTACATTTGGTTTTCATCAGAACAGCTCACCAATTTTTACAGTACATTGTCCAATTACATACAATGTAAACTACCAAAGAGATGCTCAAGTACTACAACAACAGGTGCAAAAGAAAGTCCTAGGGTAAGAAATCCCACTGCTATTCGGGAGAGTCACTCTGTGATACAAACAAACATCAGAATGCAGTTTTGGTGAAGTTAGTTACGTCTCAAGGCTGTAATAAAGGCTATTTGTTAGCTTTAGCCCTTTGATTCTTAACCATTCAGTTAAGATCTCCTGATAAAGCACTAGGCAGATTGGCATCAATGGAGAAGCTCTTGACATGCTACTGTTACAGAAACACAAAACACAAGTACTTCCCTCACCTGAATGATCTGAGCTTCCATGAATCCAGTCATTCCAGGTTTAAACAAAACTATCTAAAGCAGTACATTTTAGGCTTTAAACTGCACTGTAACTGTTTCAGAAGATACTAATATCCACAAAACCTAGAAAACAATTATCAACTGGCTAAATTACACAAATTCGACACAGAAAGCTGCTTAGTTTAAAACTCTGTCCCTCAACAACTTCTTCAATGTAAATCAGAGCTGTTACTTCAAAACAGATCTTTAGTCCCATCTGCACAATCCTATCTATTTGCATGGGAAGAAAGATGGTAATCCAAATTCTGCTGATTTGCTAATTTAACAGGTCTAAGATTTTAATACTTCCTGGTACATTTTTCATTTGCTGAACTTTCACATAACTTTTTAAAAAAGGGTTCATTATACTATGAACACAGGACGTGTGCATTTTGGTGTGATTTACACTTACTTTCTGAGTAAAGTACATTGCTATCATGTAGGATTTACAGGAACAGTACACGTGCATCAAAACTATGACTATTATCTGCACAAGTATACAAGGGTTTTAGTTTTGTTTTACTCCCAAGTGAAATGTTCACAACCAAATTTAGCATATTAAGCACTTCATCTTTAAATAGATGCAGTTATGAGATGACCTGAGTATGCAACTGATCCATGGAAGATATGCATATGCAAGTTAGTGAGAACTGCCCATGCGTAACAGACCAATATTCAGACCGAGAGACTGTCCACAATGACACTTACTTTGAAAATACTGAATCTAACTCTGTACAAGAGGTACAAGGTCAACTTGTTTTATAAGTTGATATGATAGCGGTATTCAGGTCACTGCAGTTTTTTGCATATCTGTATTGTATTTACTCAAACCCAAGTAACACACTCCAGGAACACATAAGAAAAACATAAGTAACCTCACTGAGGTTCCTGAACAGTTTCTGTTTGCAATGTCTTTTCCCCCCATATTTTCATCTATTATTATAATTTCAAAGGAACCATAAACTGCTGTATATCAGGACAGACCAGGTATCAAAAAAATCCTGTTTTACCTGCCAGCCTAAGTTGCTAGTCAAAAAGGGAGAATGTATCTGCTACTGTAAACCTCTGTGTAACAGATACCATGCCTGACAAAGCATCATCTTCAATGGACACACAAAACACCACTATGACAAAAGGGAGGAAATCATGCACAGATATAGCAGTATTATGTGGCCAGAGTCTATAATACAGTGATGAATCATGCCAGAGCAAATATGTGCCAAGAGTGATTAATGGTTCAGGCTGACTCCATAAGTAGCCAAGCAAGCCTGTAAGAGGCAAGTGGCATATTTTCTGGAAGAAAGAATATACAGTAAGAGGATAACATGTTTTTTCCCCCATTTCTGCACAAAAATTCCATGGGCAAATGCCCACTATTGGGGCAAGTGCTTTAAAATGCAATTTTCTAGCCAATAAACCGACACTGGTTGGAATTCTGTGAAGGAAGGAGTTTTAAGAATATGACTTACCTGAAGCACAGACTTCCAATATCAAAAAAATGTACATTATATACTAACACTGCTTTTTGGATACTCTTCTGTTTTAAAAGTTTCAAACATATTAACTTGTCTTATTTTGTTTAGGGCTGAGGCTGTTCAGCAAGGTCACATAATTTGAGATTGCTGAAATACTTCAACAATCCTTTGGTCCCAGAAGCTGTAAAACAGCCAAGTAAAAAAGAACCTTCCCTAAAAAAAAAAAAAAGTGGAGGGAGGGGAGGGCTGGGGGATCGTCACTAGGAAAGTGTCTTCTAAACATCATCTGCTACACACCAGAGAAGGCAAATTTTTGTTACAAAATACACAATTTCATACAAAAGACATTTCACAAAACCATCTGATTGCCCCTCTCTCGGCAGATCACAACAGTAAATGGGATCAGCTGGTTGGTCTTGAGATTTTTGTTTTAATGAAAAAAAAAGTCAAAGGACACACAGCATTGCAACAACTGGTCCTTTAAATTGCAAAGAATTATGACAATCTTTGTTTTTCACCAGTGTTTAAAAAAGCAGGAGAGAAACAGAACCAGAGTCTTCATAAGCAGAAAGTGCAACAGATTATCAGCTGCTGCATCCTCCTGAACTTCTCAATGTGCTACCAAACTGTCAAGTATACTAACAGTTCAATTATGACAGTGCCATAAATTGTTAAAACAATACAAATAGTGTGATCAGAAAGGTCCAGTCAACTGGTTCAAATTTTTTCCCAGCAGTTGCCCAGAAAAATGTCAAGACAATCTAAATCTATTCCTCAGCTTCCTCAATACATGGTGATTGCTGGAGTATAGAGGTCTGCGGTAGTACTGTACTTGTTCCTCGTGAGATCCTGTCTTGATCTGTGTTTGTAGACATGGAAGTCATAGAAATGGGCTGCAATAAACTGGGTGTCATGCCAGAGGAGACAGTCAGGCTGTGTGTAGTGCCCTTAAGTGTGAGATCCTGTGTGGGAAGAAGTGGCTTGAGGATGCTGACAAGACAGAAAGCAGAACCGCTTTTAGGAATGAAATTCACTTTGTTCTTGTCAGGGCAGTAGAAGGCTGGAATTTCATGCAATGGCTTTGGCCTAGAAACAAAACACAGACAATAGTTTTAAGATTACATTTAACAATCAAATTCTGTTAACAGCAGGTATATATTGCTGAACACATCACCAGAGACAAGCTGAGGTTTAAACTTGTATTTCAGCTACTCAGTAATGCCTTAATCAAACCCACACCACACAGCAAATGGCAAGATGTTTACACTGCTTGTTCACATATACTGCAAGATAAACAGCATGTTCTTAAGGCAGGCTGTCTCCAAACCCAAGGAAGACAACTAACTTCATGTTGCAGATCACAAACTCTGTCCATGAATTGGCATATCCAATATATAAGAAAGTATTATCATAATTTTCTTCAGAAACTTTCACAATCCAGCAAGTTCTGCCTCACACATACAACAATTCTCGTGAAAGAGCACTGGCATAGCAATGTTCCTAATGTTGCATTTTTTAGAGCTGTTCACTATCATAGCAGGATCCTCTTTTCTAGACTTTTGCCTCCTTTGCATGTTCACCTGAGTGTGGCCTGAATCTCTGTAAAAGCCAAGTCCTTCTTAAAAACTCAATGCAGAGAATAAGATGTAGTATTCCCAAAGTGGCATTCATGGTCAAGTACCTATAACCTGGGAAGTAAGTGTGGAACGCACATTTAGATCCCAACTTGCAGTTTTGCCATCTCAGCATGTAATTCAACCAACTCAGAGGTATGCTTTATAAAAGTGCTGGAAAGAAAATTGTGGAGAGCACACGAATGCTGTGTCTATCTCTAACCCTGCAATGTAAAACTACCAAGCTAGTCTAACTCAACACTAAGATAAAACTATGTGAATCTGTTCCAAAGCTTCTCTTTCCTGCTGCAAAATAACCATCAGAAATTTATATTAATGTTTTCTTGTTGCCAGCATTGTCCTTTAGCCTATAACCTCCTCTTCTCTTCCATGTGTCTGCAAGACAGCCATATGCACTTCTGTATTCATTCTACTAGGCATCCTTGTAAGAGATACTCTACTCTGAAAACTCATTTTGATCATGAAATAAGGTACATTTCCATGTTAGCTGATTCTCCAAGTGTCCAGAAAATTCAGCCCCATTCATAATTTTGTTCCCAAATGAAAATCCTGTAAACTTAAAATAGAAGTGCTAAACAAAGGTTGAGCTTTAAGTAGTTACATTAATGTATTCCACGCACATGTGGAACATAAGTACCAGATGTGAGAAAGACTTTTGCATGAGAGTGCAGAGTCTAAGAACTGCCATAGCCTGTTGCACCCTACACCAGAACAGTCCTACAGCTTATCTAGCAAGGACACCTGAAAAGAAATGTAAATGCAAGTCAAATCACAATAGCATAAGTTGGAGTAAGCGAAGACTGTCTAATTTGTTGGCAACATAGTTGCCAACATTCATTCTAAAATAGAGACTGGTAACTTAAGTTACTGTAACCCTTTCCACATTGCTATGAAGAGGCCATAGAGACCTCTCAAAATCCATTTGCAGAGATTAGAGATGGAAATAACAAAGGCAGCTATATTTTTTTTATTACCACTTATTCTAGATGGCATTGTTGAGACAATATAGGCATAAGATAATTATAACCAAATTACACTCCTTGTGTGATGAAATGAATTAACTATAGGTTAAGATTCTTGCATCCAAGTGACGTAAGAGTATAAAAACTCCGCTGAAAATAATAAAACATAAAATTCCTCGAGTATTTCCAAATGACAAAAGTTGTCTTTTTCAGAATAACCAAAGCATTAAATACTCGGAGTCAATTTTACTCTTCCATCACTAAAAGTTTCACAACTACATAGATGTAGCTGCAAAGAATATGGTCTTCAGAGTCTAGATTACTGGATGTGCCCATCAAGCTGTGTCATATATTAGCTGATGTACCTGCATTACAGCTTGCTTATTACATCTCTCTGTACTTGACGATTTGAGTTCCTCCCCCACTATCTGTCAGTTAAGAGACAGTCCCCTCAAGTTATGCTGGTCTTAAAAAAAAAAGTTTCTTAAGATTTTTATTTTAATACAGAATTCCAGGAATAAAATACATATGTATATACCAGTATATAGTCACACAAAATAACAGACCAGGTTGTTCACATGGTTTTAGCAACTGGACTAATAATTTTGATCTGACACAAAACTAATAAACCAATGGTTAACTCTGCATATTATTTCTTATGTAGTAAAGATCAACTTACAAGCTTTCCTCAAAGACTTTCACCTTTTCACAGCCCTCTGGAGGTTCACGTTTGAACATGTAGCTGTTGTTGGGTTTTGGTGAGGTAGCGTATTTTGGCAAGGGAGAATTATTTCCATTCTCTGTAGGAACAGAGTATCTCATTACTTAAATGTGTCACACTATAAAAAAAAGAATAATAACTATCTTTAAATGTCCCCCAAATTGAAACCCACTTCATTACCAATGTCATAAAATTAAGAAACATTTTCTTTCACCTCTAAGTCTTCATTTGCAAATAAGCTTTCTTATCTTAATCCCTTTCCTCCTTTCTATTTCTCCTTACACCATTTTCAGGCTCCTCTGCAATCTCTGTTCATTTCTGGACACTTTCAGTTTGTAACTGCAAACCTGAATCTATGATCCTGTGCTGTTACCATCTAGCAAAATGAGTGGGCAGAAGCCATATTCCTTAAAAAGCAAAATGGGTTTATGTTGGAACTATAAAATTCTCCTAGCATATCTCAGAAGATTTCTGGTAAAAAAAGAATAATTAAAAAACCCCAAACAGTTAAACTTTGATAGATGCATGTATGAAATGTTGGAAGTTAGTCCATTTTGTCAGGATCATAAAAAATACCTGACACAAGCAACAGGACTAGCCTACTTTGCTGTTCAACCTGTCGCTGTACACTCTGGCTTCTACAGCTTGTGTAAAGTACTTGCAGAATCTATTATTTAAAAACAAAAACTTGTTTGGGAAGCACATTCCTCAGTCATATCTATCCAGTTTCAATCACAGAACACTACATATATGTGCACACTCAGTATTTGGAGCAATTTGGAAAAAACAGATCACTTGCAAAGAAAAAAAAATTCTGCCATTTCTCCATGGATGTGGGAAACAAATCCCCTCTTTTACTATGTGTACATGCACGTAGCAACAGGTTGAAGTTTAGCATTGCTGAACTTTTAAAGTTACACTGTACCTTTATCTCTGGAATCAGCAAGAAGATCATCGGTAGAACATGGACTTTCCTCTCTGCCTTCATTAGAGATGGTAAGAAATGAGGTTGGAGATACTGACTGGGAGCGGCTGCTGTTGTTACTACTCCTGTCTGCTCCACCAGGAGTTTGGGTATCAATGCTGCGAGTACTACTGCTACGCTGAACCAACGGAGGTGGTGCACGGTGCCCATCTGGGATATCTTGAGGCTGTTAAAAATAAAAGGTATCAGATGGCTGCTCTTGACTTGTTAGCAATTTCTTTAAATCCAGTAATGCTGAAGGGTTTTTTGGGTTTCCTAAAACTGTTTGAGGTAGAAAATTTTATTCACTACACAAGATTCCAACAGAAAATAAGTCAGGCTCAGAAAATAAGGTTTTCAAGATTTCACAGAATCACAGAATTGCTGAGGTTGGAAGAGATCTCTTCAGATCAACACCCCTGGTCAAGCAGAGTCAGCTAGAGCAGTCTGTCCAGGAGCATGCCCAGTCAGGCCTTGAATATCCCTACAGACAGTGATTTCACAGCCTCTCTGGGCAATCTGCTCCAGTTTTGAGCATCCTCACACATTAAAAAATAAAACAAAACCACAAAACAAAAACCCCACAACATTTCTTGTGTTCGGATTTAATTTAATTTGTTTTTTAATCTGTGCCCACTGTCTCATTTTCTGTCATCGGGCACTACTGAGAGGAGCGTGGCTCCCTCCCCTTTATTCCTGTACATCATATATTTATACACATCGATAAGATCCCCCTGAGCTTTCTCTTCTCAAGGCTGAACAGTCCCAGCTCTCTCAGCCTCTTCTCATATAAAAACTGTTGCAGTCCCTTAATCATCTTCGTGGCCTGTGTTTCTGATACTTTATTACTAAATTTACCTCTAAAAATACTTGAAAATAAAATTAAAGTTAGAAATGGGCAACTTATATTTTAACTGGGATGGGGACAGTTCAGCATGGGCAGGGAGAAGAAAAAGTTACTTTAAAACTCCCAAAGCAGACCTTCTGTCTTTTTCCGTTTTACAAAGATCTCTTATTTTATTGGAATACTAATTACATCACAGTAATCACGGAGAAAAAAGACTTGGATTCAAACTTTAACACTTTCCTTCTTTTTGCTTTCCAAGAGACTTTTCAACTAACTTTGTTAAAAGAAAGCAAAATTAATTCCAGATAAGCTTAGTTCATAAACCGTGTAAAATAAAGCTTATGACTTAAAAACCTCAAAGAAAACCAAAATAATTATAGAAAGCAATCATAGTGGCAGATACATACAACAAGCTGTTCCTCTTTGTCTCCTGTCTCCTTAATTATTATCTCAATCTCCTGATTCAGTCCTTCTACACTGTTTCGGAATCGTGATCCTGTTGATTTGGTAATAGGTATCACAGGAACAAGAGCACTCTTTGGGATGGGAGCCTGAAGAACCAGAGACAGTGAGAAAGCAATGTAGATTTACTTACAGAATACAGTTACTATTTCTACTCAAAAGCGAACCTTTAAACAGAACACATCTACACTTCGATATCAAGGATTTACAAGAAACCATAGCAATTGTGTTAAAATGGGTGCCTTAAATGAAGACAGACATCCTGAACTTTGCTTCAGATCTAGTTTCTAGCAGGAAAAGCTTTCAACAACCTAATCTCAAAACCTCCCTTGATATGGTCTGCCTCTGGCTCAGTGTTGCTTTAGAAGTGAAAACTTCACAGTAAAAATTTAAGTAATTTTGAAGCCTTAAAAAAATACATTCACATTCCTTCTGAAGTGAGCTGCACCACAGTTTCACTTCCTTCACTGTTCAATTTACCACCTGTAATTTCATTAAAATTGTATTTTAACAGAAGTCTGCTGTCACCTACAGGAACATGGCACATACATGTTTATTCCACAAATTATTTATTCCACAAATGTAAAATTGCACTATGCTAGAAATGAAGACCAATACAGTTACTATATTAAGCCAGAATAAAAGGTTTACAAACAATTTAGGAATGCTTCCACAGAAAGAATAAAATCCCAAACCCAAATGTTAATACATAGTTGCTTCAGGATGAAGATTAACATTTTAAAAAATCCACTGTTTCCAAGTATGCATGAGGACTCCACTCTCAAAAAACACATTACTGAAGTTTTCCAAAGCCCCTTCTGGTATACCACAACTTCCTGAGATTTCCCATACTCTCCATTAGCATCCTCCACCCCATGTCCCCCACACTAAAAAATCATGCTACCACAACATTAGAAGATTCCGACCTAAGCTTCAACACAGACTCCTGGTGATTATGCAGAGCACTACTAGAGATAATGGAATGCTTCCTGCAAACAATTAGTTCAAGTCAAAGAACAGCACAAGACAAAGTCACAGTAGAATTCCTCCGTAAAATTCCTAGACTCTGTGGCCTAGCATACTGCGATTGAGAACATCTCTACTGACTGAAGGATGGTAGCACTCTCACCTTGTCTTCAAAGCAGTTTGCTTGTGGTTTGTTTTTTTTTAATTATTATTATTTTACCTCTAAGTAACAAGACTCTGTATAGACAGACACTGATGCATTGGAAATTTGCATGTGAATTCTCAAAAACATGCAAAATTTGTCTAGCAGAAAACCTACCCTTAAAAAGTTAATGTAAACAAGAGAATTTTAAGTGCAGTCTGAGGTGGCAAAACTTCCAAATTATATTGATTTTACTTTACTGAAACATTAGGATAGCTATAAAAGAAGAAACTTGCACAAGATTATAAAAGCTTCTGTTCAGGAAATGCTTGTGACTGTTTACGTCAACAAAATCTAAACATTCTCGTAACGGTCAAACTTGGAAAGACTTTCAAAAGTCTTGCCTGAAGATGAAAAAGAGAAAACATAAAACACTGGAGAAGAGCACAAAAAGTTCTGAGAAAGCAACCCTGCTATTTCCCTTCCAAACAAGGCCTTGGATCAACAATCCAGTATACTAACACAAGTCAGTACCCAGACATAACACAGGTATATCAGCACAAGTTTAGGCACTAATGAAGCCCATTGCTAAATACATACATTCTTAGAACAAATGGAACTTTTTAATAAGTAGAAAGCACAAAGCAAGTAAGCTTGTCTAAGATTTTGTCAGCCATTAGCAAACATGGGACTTCTCCATCTTTTAAATGCAATTATCTACCACAGAAATTCTTAGAATCACAGTACTATTTGAAGAGCTCAAAGTAGAAAGGCACAAGTTACTCCAATAGTGTTCATTATGGTTCAGTACAGAATGTTTCACTTCCAAGAGAAATAATATTCCATACATGACTGAAGATGACTTGGTAATTTGGAGTGCTGGAAGGTAGAAAAAGGAGGTATCATTACTGGGGTGGAACAACCGGCCTCAAAACAAGAAACTTTATATTAGAAATACTACTCTCACAGATGTCTGCATGGAACTAGGCCCTGACATACAGAAATAGGCTACCAACTGTTGAATATTCATTTGTGTATTTGGGAATGCACAAAATGAAGCAAGGTGCCAAACACTAGATAATAATTACAGTGCTCGGGTAGTAAGACAGGGAATTTTGGTGTGGGACAGTTAAGGGTCCTGAAACTTCACAGTATGGAATAAATTCATGAGATATGAAATATGGGTGATCACTATTTTAAATTGTTCACAGACATTTTAGAAAAATGGTCTCAGCTCTTCCAATTTTTCAACAAGCAACAGAACCTCAAGTAGAATCCAAGGTCTTCTGATGCTTTCAGATATTAACACCAAACCACCTCAAGGCTGACTGCATCATAGCAATTCCACTCTAAAACTGACACGTTCTACCTATGCAAGGTGGTGAGAGTGAAACAAAAAAAACTCAACACTGCGAAGTGCATGCAGTTTTTCTCTGTATTAGTGGTTGCTTAGGATCAATGGATTGGTAAAACACTAAGTGTAAACACTTCCCAGGAAAGCAAAAAGAGGGGGCCTGATGGTTCATAGCGTCAAATAGCAGTACAACTTCAGCCAAGTGCACTAAGGAAAAAAGATTATTTTGAAAGACCTAATCCATTTGTTCTTCCATCTGGCTTCAGCTCTGGCCTCAATTCTAGTTTCTGAATTACATTAACACCGAGAACAAAGGAAGATGCCACTGGTTTGACTCCTGCTTATAGATTTAGTACCATGCAATTAATTCAAAATCCAATGTACACAGAAGCATCCTGAGGTCACCTGAGGAGGCTATGACCTTTCTGCAAACCTCTCTTCCTGTAAAGAGAGGCAGAATGGAATATTTTTGGCATCATGAAAACAAACAAACAACATTCAATTGCTCTGGTCTCTGTAAAGGCACTACCCAAGGCAAATTCCTAACACATTTTCTCAGCCTGGCCAAGAATCCTCAAGCTCAGAACCTCTCGAACCAACAACTGCAAGTTTCCTTCAAGTTGGGAATGTATTCTAATCACTGACTGCAAGTGTTTCCACACTACCCTTCCCACAAATCCTGAAGTGGCTGAGCTGCTGCCAGAAGTTCTAGTTTAGCAGTTCCCTAGAAAGGAATGAGAAAGGAAAGGAACTTTGCCCTTGATGCCTACAGTTCCAGATTTTCACTCCAACTTAGAAAGCAGATGCAAAGTGCCATTAATCTAATACTCTTTTTGAGGCCTTCTGTAACTTCCCCTCTTCCAAACAGCCCAACACAGCTGGCACAAAATTTACCAAGAAAAACAATGGTCTGTTTTGTAACACAATACTGGAAAAGCTGCTTTGCCTCAGTTTATATGTTATAGTCTGTTTCACAAGCCCAAAACCTAATGGTCTGTTGTGCAATATTTTATTCACAGTCTAAAATTTGGCAGAATACAAAAGACATAATGAAATTTTGCTTCTTGTATTAAGCATAATAATTATGATGCAAAAAAACTGATATATATAATGGGGGGGCTTATTTTTCAGAGCAGTAGCATCACTGTTCATTTTCAAAATTAAAACTTACTAAGATTATCTATGTTAAAGTGACAATAACTTAGCATTCAGAACCCTACAAGTTTGTAGAATACCAAGCCAAACCTGTTAGACTGTAGGTAATTCTCCAGCATACTGAAGGGCCTACACCAAAAGTTACTCAGTACACTTTTTTTGGCTGAAATGCCTCAACTGCCCACAAGTACAGAACAAATCTTCAAACGAGTTCTACAAATATGGTTGAAATACCCACATCAAGTATTTTGACCTGCCTTTTTAATTATTATTTTTTTTTAATAAATGTATCTCACCAATCTTCATGAACTTTCTCAAAAACCACTAGAAAGCAATTTGCTCATTTGCCTTCTTTCATAATTTTGGACTGTTCTGACTTGAGCTACAGTAGTCACTAACATCAGCAGCATGCAACACTGCACCCATCCCTCATTAAAACAGCTAAAAATGTAGGAACTTGTACTAGACAGCCTGTTTGTTTCAAGATTTAAAAAGTTTGAAGAAGCAATTCCTAAATTGTTATGTCAAAAAAATGTAATCCTAAAAAAAATATATCCTAAATACAATACTTCTAGTAGCCCAGAATTCAAACTAATAACAAACTGAATTCAAGAGGCACATATGTCCTGCAAAACTCATGACGCCTTACTGAATAAGCTACAGCAGTGATAAGTGAGGGTCTGAGATGCTACTGATTTTTATGCAAAGTATGAGGAAGAACAACCATGCAGGAGAAATTCAAAACACTGTTCTACTTCCTTATTTCCAGTCTTGGAGTAAAACAGATTCACTTAGATCCCTGACTTCTGTCGATGAAAGAACCTGGCTGCTCAGGATTGTATGTATGGTTCTCCCTTCTATTTTTTATTCCATCTTTTATCAGAATGGGTGAGTACCTGCAGAGTAGGGCATGTGTAGATGTCACAACAGCTTTCCTCTCTGGCCTACATTATTTTCCAGAAGGATGAAATGACAGAAAGGAAACTGTTTTCATTAACTAGTATCAAAGTATGGTACTTATCAGAACAATGTTAACTGCCTTTCAGGAGTAACTGGGAATATGATTAGATTTGCAGAGAAGCTTCACAGTCAAAGTACTTCCTCAGTTCACAACACTGACAGTTACACAGTTTCATTCAACTACATTGACTTGCAAGGCAATTGCAGGGATTGACTGCAATGGGATTGATTGATTGATTGCAGGGATTGATTGCAATGAGGGATTCATTCTTTTCGTAACTTTTAAAAAAGAAGTGTGTATATCATAAATATACATTCACAAGATATTAGTAGGGCAAAAAAAAGTTTTCTTCTGAAAAAATGACCAAACTTTCCTATTAGTCTTCTCAAGTTACTCAAGCAAAACAGACTTGAAAAAGGTCTGTGTGTCTGAAGTCTGTCATTTTTTTCCCACCTGCTATAAACTGAGCTAAAAATAACACCCCTGTGAACCTGACCTCATTAAGTCTCGAGATTAAATTTAAACTGCACACAGAACATGTGGTGGCCTAACCATCACAATTTTTGCAGTGATTACTACTTAAAAGTCTTGCGGCATGACAAATGACAGAAAAAGAAGATCTTACAAAGGCTGAATGAAACTATCAAGAGTACAGACACTTTCAATAAAGTGCATAAAACTCCCATTGAACAGTCTTTTGTCAGATAAGATCTCTAGGGTGGTTCATCGTAGGATTAGACAAGTACAACTGTCAAGACAAAACATGATCAGCAAAAACAACAATTTTATTTGAATGTATCATTTTACCACCAGTTTGCTTCATGCCATATTCTACATGCAAATTCATAATTGTTATAGCAATGCGCAATGAAAGAAATAATCTCTGGTTTTAGATTAAATTTATCTGTCATCCTGTTGTAGAGTCTGCAGAACACACTTTGAGTCTTGCTTTAAGAAAGGATCTAATTATCTGAAATTCTTGAAAGTAGGAGTTTAAAGTCAACCCAGCCAAGTAACAAAAAGATCCGAGACACCATACATTTGAGGAAGTCAAAGAAAACAGATCTGTTTTATAGATTTCACCTACAGTTAGTAGCATGTGGTATTTCTAAGTTCTCTTTAAGAGAAATCACAACCTTGAAAGGAGTTAAAAATGGTATTAGCTACTCGATATGTACTAAAGTGCACAGCCTTACCTGACTGTGGTTAATGGCTGCATGGTTACCATGAAATGGAGAGTGTCTCTCTTTATCACGATGATGCCTACTGCTGTGTTTGCTTCTCTGCAACTGTTGACGTAATTTTGCAATCTAATGAAGGAAAAATTCACATTAGATTTCACCAGATATATTCAGGTACACACATAGTTTCATCAATTTATTCCATCATTTAGTTGAAATCCTTTATTACCACAACATTCATAATTATTGCCAGCACTAAATTAGATTCAAGTTCTTTCAAACCAACATGTTAGCTACCAGTTCCGCTGAAGCCCAAAAGATACTTCTGCAGGTTTCATGAAAGAACTTGAAGTACATAAAGTACGAAAGCAGTTTGAAAGCAGTTTGGTCACTGCTGTACTTCCTCCTTTGATGAAGAGTTTCACCTGCATTTGACACTTTCTTTCCCACACATTCAAATTAAAAATTTTAATAGTCCTACATTGTTATATTAAATCAATACCAAATGAACAACTATTTCTTGTTTTTTTTACCAAGCCCATGATCATTCTGTATAGTAAAACAAAGCAGTACAATATTAATGCCTTCCTAAAAACTCATGGTTAACAGTGCATGCCAGTAAAAAAATTAACCTAAATAATTTCTGACCTCCTTAAGTTGATCATTGCTGCCCCACGATGCTGAACGTTTGTGTGAGCTTCTCTTCTTTTCTAAATATTCTTCAGCCCAGGCACTTTCTGTCTGCAGGATTAATAAAAAAAACCCAAAATTTAATTCCTGCTTTCTGGCAAAATATTGTGATACAAATTAAAAGAGAGAACAGTGTTAAGACTTGCTAGATTCAGAACTGCAACCCAACCTTTCACACCTACTCTGATATAGGAATGTGCTAGCTTCCCTTCCAAATTTTTGAGCATAAGGCAATATTAACAGCCAGATGCACCACAAGCTGCTACAGAGCTCTGAAGAACAAGTACGACAGTGCTGACTCTGGGGGAGATGGTATATTTTATTTCCTAGACAGATGCTGACCTTGTTATTTATGACGCATTAGCGAGGGCAGCTTGGTGTAAACGCTGTGAAAGCCTGCACCAGTACAGTTTCAAAATCATGTTCTTGCTTAGAAGAATGAGAAACGGGAAGGCAAGGCATAAGCACCACTAGAGCTATTGCAAAGTAGCAAATTAATTTATTAATGCCTCAAAGGGCTTCAGGTTCATAGTTGTCTCAGGCCAAGCAGAAAGCAATACAGGTAATACAAAACTAGTTTCACTAAACCAACAAAGCCACTAATCTTTAATAAACAAACTTGCAAACATACTGCAGTGAAAAAGTTCTGAGAAATTCAAAGTATCATTAAGGCAAATTGTGTTTATTTCAGATAACAAAAAAATGCACAGGCAAGCCTGTGATAATACTGTATGCTTTATGGACAGTTTGTATTCCCACCTAACCACACCCAGAATGGCCTTCAGAAGTAGTGAACTGTAAAGGCTCTAAGAATCTACAAGAAGGGCTGGAAGGAGGATCTGGGGAACTACAGGCCTGTCAGCCTGACCTCGGCACCAGGGAATATTGTGGGGCAGTTCATCTTGAGTGTGCTCACATAGCACATGCAGGACAACTAGGGGATCAGGCCCAGCCAGCATGGGTTCATGAAAGGCAGGTCCTGCTTGACCAACCTGATCTTCTATGACCAGGTAACCCACCTAGTGCATGAGGGAAAGGCGGTAGATGTTGTCTACCTGGACTTCAGTAAAGCCTTTGACACTGTCTCCCACAGCATTCTCCTAGAAAAGCTGGGGGCTCATGGCTTAAACAGGTGTACTCTTCGCTGGGTAAAAAATTCGCTGGACAGCCAAACACAGAGTTGTGGTGAACGGAGTTAAATCCAGTTTAGTGGCCAGTCACAAGTGGTGTTCCCCAGGGCTCAGTTTTGGAGCCAGTTTTGTTTAACATCTTTATCAATTGTCTGAATGAGGGGATTGAGCGTTTCCTCGGGAAGTCTGCAGATGACACCAAATTGGGTGGGAGTGTTGATCTGCTCAAGGATAGGAAGGCTCTGCAGAGGGACCTGGACAGGCTGGATCGATGGCCTGAGGTCAACTGCATGACATTCAACAAAGCCAAGTGCCAGATCCTGCACTTGGGTCACAAGAACCCCACGCAGCACTACAGACTTGGGGAAGAGTGGCTGGAAAGCTGCCCAGGAGAAAGGGACCTGGGGGTGTTGTTCAGCAGCCAGCTGAACATGAGCCAGCAGTGTGCACAGGTGGTCAAGGTGGCCAACAGCATCCTGGCCTGTATCAGAAATTGTGTGGCCAGCAGGAGTAGGGAAGTGATCATGCCCCTGTACTCAACACTGGTAAGGCTGCACCTCAAATACTGCGTTCAGTTTTGGGCCTCTCACTACAAGAAGGACATTGAGGCACTGGAGAACATCCAGAGAAGGGCAATGAAGCTGGTGAAGGGTCTGGAGAACAAGTCTTACGAGGAGCAGCTGAGGGAACTGGGGTTGTTTATTCTGGAGAAGAGGAGGCTGAGGGGAGACCTTATGGCTCTTTACAACTATCTGAAAGGAGGTTGTAGTGAGGCAGGGGTTGGTCTCTTCTGTGAAGTAAATAGCAATAGTATGAGAGGAAATGGCCTCAAGTTGCACCAGGGGATGTTTAGATTTGATATTAGGAAAAATTTCCCTACTGAAAGAGTGATCAAGCATTGGAACAGGCTGCCCAGGGAAGTGGGCATGTTGCCAACCCTGGAGGTGTTTAAAAAAAAAAAAGTAATGTGGCACTTCAGGTCATGGTTTAGTGGTGTTGGGATGATGGTTGGACTTGATGATCTCAGAGGTCTTTTCCAACCTTAATGATGATGTGATTTTTAAGAAGACAGATAACGACTGTCAGAAATCTCTCTACAGTTACAAGAAATACACCCAATGAAGAAAGGGGAAGGATTTCTCGAAGCAGCTTACACACTGAAAGAGACAGGGAATTCCTTTAGATTCACTGTCACCACAGTACAGTTCTTAGCACACAGTGGTGATCTAACTCATCCTTAGGTGGCATTGAGATCTCACTTTCTCCTACAGACAGGAACTTTGATAACTTCAAAGCCATCACATCTACAGTGTACAACAGCTGTTCTTACATTTGAGACTAACAGCTTGCAAGCCACAAGCTGACCTTACTTATCCCATCTGTACTCATAATACAGAAACTCACAAGGTCATCGATGATGTGGTATTAATTCCCATTTTGCAGGAAAAATGGACCTGTAACTCCAAACATATAGGTTGCAACTCCCATGAGTTTCAGTTACAGACAAAAGTTTCATATACATGAAACCTCCACTATAAGCAGTTTTTAGTCTTCATCATTTCAAATCAAAAACTAACCAGGACAAATCTGAATAATAAAGTTAGCAGGGTTGCTTTGAAATTCCTATTTCATAGGTTTTATAGACAGGTTTCATCAAATCGCTCAAAGCAGGAGTCCGATACACAAACAGCCTCTGCATGACCTGGGATCTCTTACACAGCTCTCAGCTATGACCTACAGGCATCTCTACAAAGGCCTGCAAGCCAAAGTGTGTCACTAATCGCTGTCTCTCCCCAGTCTGTCTCCTGAATTACTCTACTCGGTATGCCATAAACCTGTAGAATGAAGATCCCCTGCTTAATCAAGTTGAAAATCTTTTGTATCTTAATAGATTCAATCCCTATTCCCTAAACTCTTGAAATCAGAAGACATTCGTTTTACACCAGACTTCGTGAAATCTGAAATTACACACCGGAGCAAGGATATCTCATAAGTGAAACTTCACCCAAGCACCACATCTTCAGAAACACTAAACAACAGAAATGGAGAGGCTCTACTACCTTGGGAAACTATCATAAATCACATTTTAAACTTGACCATAGCTCATTAAATGGCTGCTCTCAAGCACACCAGAAAGATCAAAAGCAACAATGTCTCATCAGTGTCGTATCAACACGAGCTCTGGACATACAGCTGTACGTCTGCATCCCAAGATTTTCTACTGGTTTGATAAATTTCAATTAGGAAGTGCAAACAGATAATTCTGTTTCTCTTAGTAGTACAGTAACATCAACCAGCACTAAATATACTCATTCTGCATAAATACCAAATGCCCTTTACAGCCTTGCCATTAATCTTTGCAAATATGTTTCTCCTTATATATGAAAGCCCCACTACTGTAGCAGCTAGATATGTCAGAATTAGAAGAAAAAGACAGAAGAAAAATGTAAGCCAAAAAGGATGATATCTAATCTAGCTGGAAAATACACAGATTATAAAAGCCCAACCGTGACTCCGAATAAACCAAAACTAAGCTGAAAAATATCAAGTGAATATAGCAAATACTTTGGCAGCAGTATAGAAATACAATTATTTTGAAAAGAATTATTAACCTAAGAAATCAAATACAAAAATAAATAGCTAAGGGACACAAATTGGTTTAGTTCTTCCCTTTAATAGCTAACCATGAACAGCAATTCCTTGTATATCATACACCTTCTTTCATTCTCCTCCTCCTCTTACTATGATTTGCTTACCTTTTTCACCCCAGCTTCTAACCATTACTCTGATTCTTATCCTACACAGAAAACTTGTTCCTCAGCTCTCTTTTCTTCATCAGTTTCTATTTCCACCTTATCTACATGGGCATATTCCCTTACAAAACACCTTACTTTTCTACTGACCTGCTCTTTGAATTGTGGTGCTTTCCGCAAAACGTTGTGAATCTTGACAAGACCATACAGTAACAGTCAGAGCTGCAGAAGTTATCTGCTCAACATCCTGCACATTTGACTAGACTGTCCAATGAAACTAACGTGGCTATATTTTTGTGATTGTTACCAAATCCAAGGCAGGCTCAAACTCAAGTATGTCCCACACGCTGTCAGTTTCTCTTCCATCTGCATTTTGCTTACATTCTTTGGAATTGACAACCTGTTGTTGCAATCATGCTCTAGGAACAGGGATTTAAAATCTGGTATGTTTGGCTCTTTCACTCTACAGCTTAAAGAGATATCCACTGCCAGACTGCACACACAGAAGAAGAAATGAAACACTGGGATATTTTATGGAAAAATCCATCTTGAATCACTTCTGCATACAGTAGGATACCATGTAACAACAGCTCCCTTTAAGGAGAATGATAAAACAAGGGTCATGATAAGTGTTTAACTCCTGTAATGCCAGTTTCACTCATTTATTTGTTGGTTCTGTCTTTCCAGGTGGCAAAGGACTGAACCATTAAAAGCTTGTGAAATGTTGTCAAGTTGTGAAGCTTACTGGTAAATCATGTCCTTTTTTAATGCTTCCAGTTGAGCTAAATTTGAGTATCATTCACCATTCAATGAGGCAGCTCTTCAACGTACACAATTCTATACTTGGTACATAGATCCCAGGTGAACATTAAAGGCCTTTTACAATCAAAGGATGAACAGCCTAACATAGAAAAGGCTACAATAACTTTTATCCTGCACTAGACAAACTTTTAAAATTCAGTTTTAAGACAGACATACGTATAAGTAGTCACCAAGTTCTCTTGTACAAATTTACAGTAAATAGTACTTAACACTAGTGCAATCTAGTGCATTGCACACTGTAAGAACAATGAGAAAACAGATGTACAATACACTGGTGTTTTTTCTGAGGCAAGAAGAAAGTAGAACTCTTAACAGGTATTACAGTTGCAGCCTCTTCTTAGAGAGGAATGCAAATAATTCACAGATGTAAATACAAAGATAGGATTCCTGCAATTTGAAAGTGAATAGGAATTTACAAACAAGAAAGCTGAAGTCTATGTTTTCAAGGGAAAAGCTTCTTACATTTAAATGCTGTCTTCACATTTAAATACTCTGAAGACAAAAACCTGTCCTACCTGTGTGGCTTTGTCTCTCATACATGGAGCAGCTTGTCCATGATTATCACGAGGCCACTGTCCAGCAAGGTATGGAGCAGCAAGCGTATCCAATGAGGAAGTCCGGTGAATAATGCTGGAAGGGCTTGACGAAGGTGGTCTTGATTTGTCAGCTAGAAGAAGAACACTTGATTAGAGAGAAAGACAGAGAGCTTAATTATTTTAATTAACTAAAAGAAATCATATCAAATTAGGACTACTATGTTATTAAGTATACAACAAGGTATTTTTAATATAGGAATTAAGTTTGCTTTTCCAGGCTCTATTCAGTTTTAATAAGCAATGAAATGTGTTTTTATGGTTTCCTTAAAAACATTCTGATGTCACACATGTTGCATTGGTACTCACACACCACCATTTATTCCTTTAAAGGTGTAACAGTCATTTGATTTTTAAATTATGAAGGCTTGGAAGAAATAAAAATAGCTAAGTTTCCTCATACATAGAGGCTAACAAAAAAAATCTTTGCAGAACTTTTTCAAATTATTGCCGAGTTTATAGTTCATCCCACTAGCCCCTTACTCTTCACCTACTTTATTTCAAGGGACACTATAAACTGACATGTTTTATTAACCACCCAGCATACAATATACGGCAGATTCATACCGAGTTATGTCTAACCCCTAGATCCAGAAGTCAACTTTGATAATGTAATGATTTACATTTTACAAGATAATCAAGACATATCCTCCCTTTACATGCTACCTGGTAACTACATTCATATTTGCCTGACACAACACCTCCTGCAACACCTCGTTTTTAGTGTTTACACTGATAGAGCTTTTCAGAACAATTTAAGTAACAGGAATCCTTACTGAAAAGGGCTAAATATAACAAGCACAAGAAGTAACATGAAAATGAAGAATATGGTTAAAAACAAAAATTTGCATCTATCCCATATCTGTCAATGATACCTTCAAGTAAAGTGGTAGTAAAAGAATAAGGTGCAAGCTAATATGTGTAAACACTGTGAAGAAAGGTTCCTCAATACAGTAATTGAGGTTTGTTAAATTAAAGATACCAACAACAAGCAGGAAAGACACAGGGTTTAGATAGACATATATGCTCACACATTATTTGTTACTAGCTATTCTAGATGTAAAATGCTAATCCAGAGATCACAATGACCTAAGCTTACTAACAATTCAGCTACTCCCCACAGAATTACACCTGAAAGAATAATGTATTAATCTTACCTATTAATGAATACAAAGGCCTAAACTACATGGCTAGAACACAGCAAGCAAGATACAGAGATCAGATGGAAGGTTTTCAAGGGCACTTAAAAATCTCAGTCCTATGTCCTTCCTGACTGTGCCTTAGGATTAATTCTGCACTAAAAGTATAAATAACATAGCAATTTACATTGTACATAAACTCATCTACGGGCAAAAGAAGCTGTGCCTGATTAGTGTTTGACTGCTAGTCAGAAAATAAAACACTGCCGTCAGAAGTCCAGAATTCAATTTCTAAGCCATTTCAATCTAATAAATATATATGAATATTAATAAAAACCTGTCAGGTATAAATTCCAGCGGTGTGGACAACATATTAGTCTCATAGGGAACCAGTCTTTCAAATGTAAGTCTGGTGACATTCTATACTAAATATACTCATGCAAATTTTGCATTAGAAACATACACATTAAAAGTGTGGAAATTATTTCAATTCAAGTACAAGGAAACATTTTTTTAGGACTATAATCAACCACATAAACATAAATCAGTCCAGAAACCTCATCTGGTTTATTATTTCTACTAGTACCACAAATTATAAAAATCTTACTACTGAGCTCACAGCAGATCTGCTTTCAGGGAGCACAGCAAAGCTCAATTTTGGAGTTACCATGCACTCAAGACCGCTGTATCAAAGAAATTCTTTGACTACTACTACCACCATACAGCACACTGAAGAGTCTGTTTGTATCAGAAGATTTCAAAACAATTCCTTCTGTGCTAATGCCACATGTCATTCCTTAAATATTACACTTGCTAACAGAGTATATCAAACATGTTATTTGTCTCAGAAATAGCTGCCACACTTTCCCTATTTATTTTTCTTCAAAATTATGATTCTTCCTTTTCAAGAAGCTTCTCACTTTTTACCAAGAGGAAAGAGAAAGGATGTGAAAAAAATTAATTAAAAATCAGGAAGTGTATGTAGTCAGTCACATCGTCTGCAAAGCCACCGCAGCAGACAGCTTCAAAACTAAAGCAGCAGCAACTGCTACCCTCTCCCATCCTCCACAATTTAAAAAAAAAAAAAAGTGGAAAGAATATTTTGCTGGGTAAACAGCAAGAATGAGAACTGAAGAGCCTGTTTACTATTGAAATTCAAGGGAAGCTGCTCATTTCAAGGCACAAAGCCTGTGAGTACTCTCTTTTCCTCTGATTTAAGAATTCCTTCAAGGTATTCTGCTTTCCAATTACATTTATTTAGATGATGCAAGGGTGTCTGGATACATTTTTACTTACTTTTTTACCTTCACAACGTGTTTTAATACAAATTGGCAAAGTCTACTACACAACCCCCCTTGCTGTTTCAAAACATTTCAATGGGAACATCTACAATGTTTTCATTGCACTCTCCTCTACAATACTCGAAGCAAGGGTCCAGCTGCTATTTTTCCTTGATGTGACCTACATAACAAGAGATCTGCCTCCATAGAGATAACAGTTACAACAGCTGTGGCTGATGAAAAACAATGCAGCTGTTTCATCAAATAGACACTTCTTAAATATTAGATTGTTTTAATTGGCCTGATTATCTCTTTAGATGAATATTTGTGATAAATATCAACCCTCCTTAACCATCCACCACTACTCGAAATCTATTTAGAAAAGGAACCAAAAAAGTCTCTAATCTGGCTTCAAACAAGGCAAAATAATAGAACAAAACACAAACAGAACACGCACAATACAAATCAACAAAGTCCATCACACAGGAAAATAACAAGCAAGTTACCAAGTCTTCCCAAGTCCCTGCAGCACAACTGATCGACTGAAATTGCTACAGATAAACTGGTATCACACACACCTATTGCAGTTGTGAAGTCAGAGACCTCCAAAGGCAATGTCAGCTAAGGTACCCTCACAACAAGACTGAAGATTGAACAAGTATAGATGTTTAACAATAACTAACTGAAAGGTAGGAAACAAAGCCCTACAACTACAGTTACAACTGAAAAAGGAAATTACAGTGTGAGAACACATACCTTTGAATTGGATACCTCATAAGAGGAAAACTGCTATATATCAAAGAAAGGAAGGAAAAAATAGGGAAGGTTTTACACATAAGAAAGTTCTGTGATAAAACAGTCTGAAAATTCATCTTTCAATTTCCATGAAAAATTCAGAACTGTTGTTAGAACAGTTAGATCTTTCTATGTATTTGAAATTAAAGTTTTGAGAAAGGAAAATAGAAACTCCAAAGAAACACCTTCTAATAGACACCATGAGAAAACAAAACAGAGCTAGCAAGCAGCAGAAAGAGACCCCTGGAAAAGCATAGAACAGCATAAACCTCACAGAGTGCCCCGAGAGAGTCTTAACTGAAGCTTTTTATACAGGTAGGATATAAAAAAAAGTGAGAAACAGCAAGACTCTCTCTATTTCACAGAGAGCTTCACATCTGAACTCTTCAAGAATTTCCATTATACCATTATAACAATAGTCATCATTTCATTTCACACATGTAGACATTAATATTACTCTTCCATATATTATTCTGAACAACTAAAGGTCAATGTAGTTCCAGATAAAACCCTTTTTTCTCCTTTATTTTAAGAAAGAGTTTAAATGTCCAACACAGTCAAATGTAATATATCAGAAAGTTCAGCATCCAGTAGAGAAATCTCTCATAATCTCAAGGTACCTGAAAGAGTGAGTAAACAACTGCTATGGCTCTGGTCTTGACCTTCTTGTTTACACAGCCTGGTGCATCATAACATTTTTGGAGTTGAACAGTTGAACTCTTCTGAGATGATATGTTTTATATAAGAACACAAATAATACGATCACATTTGATCTTTACTCAGGAGATAAACCTAGGCAAAAATAACAATAAAGGTAGAGCATACACATTTCTCTATCCCATTTTGCAACAGTCTATTAGTAGGTCAAAACAACTTCCTCTAACTGGGGTGGTTTGCAGATGGGTAAAGAGGCACACGTGAAAACTGATCCAAAACTGGAGACTGCACAACAGACCAAAACACAAACAAACAAAAAATCCCACCAAAAAAAAAACCTCAAACCAAAAGAAACTATGAAGTCACATTTGTAAATTCACAAGTTGGGGTTCTCAAGTGTTAAACAGGTTGATGAAAACTACGTTCAAAACTATTCAACTTCTTCCCAGAAAAGAAAATCTGAAAAACAAAGTTGAGTCTAAAATACACAACGCACAGAACCAGTATTGACGCTCACAACAGGCTATCATTTGTCTAACCTAAAGGTTTATTTTAATCTAAAAAAATCATGGCTGCAGCTGTAGGAATGAACAAAAGTCATCATCAACTGAAAACAAGAAGCACGAAGTTATTCTGCAGTAGATTCTGACCGATACCCTGAAGTGGCCTGCATGGCTTCACAACTCATTAGCAAAAACAAAGTTCCACTTCCATGTTCTCAGCTACCACTAAGTTTTCTCATCTAGGTGAAGAAAAAATTGAAGTTAACTCAGTCTCTATCAGGCATTGGACTACACAGTACAAATGTACTGTTCAGCAATACTGAACAGATTTAATTTGCCTTTTAGGTGAATACAAATACTGTTCAGAAATTTAAACACATGGAAGCAATTAAATGGACACTACTCCTCTGCTTTCACACATCCTGTAAAAAGCTAGTGGAGTTCTCTCAACACATTATTCAAACGACTTGTTTCTTTCTATATATTAATTATTAGATCCAATACAGGAATTATCATGGTTTCAACCTGCTTCTACGCAATGATCTGAAGACAGTGCAACTACTCCACCCTAAGTGGTCTGACGCATGCCTTTACAAACAGCTTTTGAACCTGGATCTCAAGGCTAGCCATCCTGTTCCCCATTCTCCAGGCCAGGAGATTGCATCTTGGGCAAAAGTTTCTATAAAGTTCAC